AAATTATAATTATATTATTATTGTAAAAAATAAAGTTTAATGAAAATTAAAATTTTTACACAATTAAAAAATATGTAAAGAATATTTAAATTATTTTAGCAAATAAAGTTTAATTCTTTTGAAAAATTAATTTGGATAAATAAACAAAATATTCAGAAAAAAAGTAAATAATTTCCTCCCCTTTCTTTTCCTTTCAATTTTTTTGAATTAAATAAAATCATATTTCTTCTTCTCTTCTTTCAAACTCAACGTATCCTTAAAAAATTTATTATTTATTTATTAATTTTTTAAACTGAAGTCAAATTTATTTATTTATTAATTTAATTATATAATTTAATACATTTTAAATAGTACAATATTTTTTTATTTACTAGTTATCTTCCTGTTTTCAAACTTGTATCTTTTCTTTTTAGTCGAATATACTCTTTTTTCACCTTCCTTTTTATTCACGAAGTTAGTTTCACAAACTCTAAAACTGAACGATAATTTTATTTTAGGGTTTTAAAAAATAATTTTTCGTTTAACTTTTTCTTTTTTTTGGTTAGAAACAGTTTGCGTGGATCTCGCTGTGCACATAAACCGTTCCTAGTCGGCTAGAGTCCGTAAAGGTACTCATTATTTTTATTATTCTTTTGTTGCCAATTACCATTGACGACGGACTTGCCTTGAAGTCAATGCAGGAGAGTGGTGTCGTCGAAACTTCACCAAATTGGAAGCAAGGGACGAAGATGATTTTGGTCATGACAGGGGTAAAATGGTCCTTGCGACAGAAAATTTTAACTTCTTCTGTGTAGCTTTATCATTTTCCTGTATCAGCAGCAACTGGGCCCCGCAGTGGGCCTCACTGCATTATTGCCTTTTGCCAGTAATTCAACACATCCCACAAACCTGATTATCTTATCTTGGCCTATGGCTTTTGCCTTTTTATAATTTTATAATAATATATTAAATTTTGCAAGAAAATAAACTAATTTTATGCACTCGCGGCTCACGGCCCAACGAGCATAAATCAATTTAAAAGTGCATCTCTCAATCTTCGGATTAGGGTTTAATTCCTCCCACTCTCATATTTATATTCTGTTTAAAAAAAAAATGCATATGCGCAATTGATTAAGATCACAGCTTTTTTCCCCTCTTTTCATTTCCTCTCAAATCAACTCTACTTCTAGGAGAATTAACTTTTTATTTAATAATTTAGTTATAAATTTAATTTATTTTAAATTATACAACAATTCATTTTTGTTACCATTGACGACGGAATTGAAGTCAATGCAGGAGGTGTCAGTCGAAAATTCACGACATTGGAAGCAAGGCAAGGGACGAAGAGATTTTGGCCCTGGCAGGGGCAAAATAGTCATTACAGAAGAAAATCTTTATCCACGTTTGGCTTTAACATTTTCCTGTATAACAATTACTGGCCCTGCGATTGGCCTGACTGCATTATTGCACTTGCCATAATCCAACACATCCATCAACACAATTATCTTGTCTTAGTTATTGCTTTTGCTTATTTATATTTTATAATAACTTACTAA